AGCGAAGTGAAATATATGTCACCGGACTGACACTTTAGGAAGCCTATCCTTTGATGTTTGTAAAAAATATATCAACTTCTATGAGTTCTATACGCAGGTGAGAAAAGTAGCAATTTACGAGTCAACCAGTATTGAGTGTGTGCTTTTTATGGATTAGGTGATCCAGGACCGCCAGGTTTGCCAGGCGACATGGGTTTTATGGGAATCCCTGGTCCTGCCGGACCACCCGGTTCTATAGGACTGCCAGGGGAAAGAGGTGAAAAAGGGGATCGTGGTCCTGAAGGTGTTGGACTTGAAGGACCATCTGGAGTTAGAGGGCCTCCTGGTAACGTATTTACTATCAACACAAAATAATCACCTAATCATCAAGTATGGTGAATATACAGGACACTAAGCATGCAGCAAAAATTCAAGAGTATATTCTTTGGGTCGAAATGAGATAGTTCCTGATAACGTCTGGAATGGTGTCGTTTCAAAGATACTAGATGATATACAAATTCTTTACAACCTACAACACAATAGCAGTTCTTAGTGATGGAATTATCTTATTCATATACAAACATTTCAGAAAATGTTCTTGAAAACTGAAGCATTTTTGGATTTGTCATTAATGGTATAAAGACGTGCAAACACCTTTGCACGAAAACGCAAGAGAATACAAAATATATTCTAAAAAAATAGCCGTGCCTAGAATAAGGCTAACGCGAATTTTGTTTTCAGAATCACTCCACGCGAAATGCGCCATGAAGGTATAGTGACGTCAAGGTTTCGCGTGGATTTTTTCCTCTTGATTTTTCCACGCTAATTAAACGTGAAGCACCATGCTTTTGTTTCATCCACGGTAATTACGCGTGGAGAATTCCTTCATGATCAGTCCACGCTACGGGTTATGTCCTTGTGATAAATCCACGCTAATTTCGCGTGGAAAACCATGCTTTTTAATCATCCACGGTAATGTATGTGCCTAGGAGGGGTAAGGGTGTCGCTGCCAATCAATAATAAGAGATTATTCCACGCTAGTTTCATTTCTTCCTTTCATCAGCTGTGTTCATCGAATATAATATGTTATACCACCGGTTTGATAACCTATAACTTCTATATGCTATAAAGTTATGAAATAATGAAGTAATGGAACTCAGGTGATGAGGAAAGATTTGGAAGTTACGAGGAAGTTAGAAAGTATAAAACAAGTGCGAGACAAAAATATTGGAAAAATTCTAGCCGAACAATCGAGAAGGTTCGGTTGAAAAAACGAATCAAAGCAGCTAACTTACTAAAGTAATATGAAATACATTATGGCTGCATTCATGGTGGGGAAATCTGAAGGAAAGGGAATGAAAAAGATACGGTGTGTTTCTTTCTATTTCTTGGTTTATTGCACCATAATGGGATGGGACCGATATGGGTGATACTCTGATCATCTATATTCAGAATACCTACTATTATTTTCAGATTCAGAATGTATGATCAAGTTTTGATGACTAATAATCCAGAATTCAAGAATGAATAGAACTCGATGAAATACTCTATCACCTCTAACAATGAGCATATGATCTAAAACTGTTGTTTATTCAAATATAGGGTGTTGAAGACGTTGAAGTAAAAATTGTTTTATCGGAGATAGTGAATATTACAATATTGAGGATAGATGAAACATAACTCTGAGAAAGAAATTAACGTGGCTGGAATGCTCCCACGCCAAATTAGCGTGTATTAAACAAAAGGAAAAGGATCCATGGAGAACGTTGATGTCAGTGTACATTCATGAAAATATGAAAAAATATGAAAATGTATGGAAATTCAAACGACCTGCACCGTAGACTCGCCCACGAGGTGCCCGGACCAACATTATTGATTATTCATCTAAAAAGTATCTCATAAAATTATCACAACACTACAAAATATCAATGGAATCAGCCAGTATCAATAGTAATACAGTAACGAAGTTATTCCAGACATATGTTTATAGGTACTTTCTCTGTTATTCTGACAGAAGAAATATCCTCTCAAATTTTCGCCACATGTTTAGTCAACACCCTGTATATCAGACGCCAATAATTACCCCTCGTGTCTTATGATGATGAATCATTCTGAATTTAGTATTCCCATTGGTTGTTCCTTGAAAATAGTAAAAAAAAACAATTTCTGGGATGAATGTGATAGGCAAGTGGCATATTACAGTTAATCTTTTTATTACAATCTTAGAATAATCCAAAGAATACGTTGTTACCAGTGAAGTCCACAATCACATCATATATTTTCTGTTAGTTGATTGATGTAATTTCCTTTCGAATTTCATAAGGAATTTTGATTTTGTACCTTCTCTTTTGATGCCACATTATATGTTTATTCAATTTTAAAAGAATCAAATGAAATCTGATCATCTGACGCTATTTAATTATTCGAAATCGTTGTGTCATCCACAAAAATCTATGTAACTTTTGACACGTTCTTTGTTTTCTTATAATTATCCTTATGTCATCTGATATTTTGGAACTTTCATTTTCATTCATTGAATATATAAGTAAACTGATAAGGGTAAAATGTTCTTAGAAATATGCACACAAAACGTACATTTTCATTTCAACTTCAAAACAATCTATGGAGTGACCAAGTTCTTACACCTAGATAATTCAATAAAAGATTCAAGGGTTTTAGAAAGACGTTGAATTTTTTATACACAGAGCGCAAAGTTTGCCCAGAGTAAGTCAAAGAGGCGATTCTATAAAGGTGTGAGGAGGTGTGGGTTTTGAAGCTTGGACGAACTTGGTCATAGTTAATCAAGGGCGGATATGTGTATAAGGGACATTTTGGTGCTATGATGTTGAAGTTGCAAGAATTTTCAATGATCCGAAAATCCCAGTAATAAATTGACCATCTGGAAGCCAATACATATGTCCAATTGAACAGTTTGATGAGTTTCTAATTGAATAATGATAGCAAATCGCTCACTTTCAAAAGTAAATTGGCGGCATGCAAAGAAAACCTGCAGTAATTAATTTTCAGTTTGTTTTCAGATCGTTCTCGTTGTGTTTGGTATTGTAAAATTTTTGGATTCGTTGTTTTCACCATACATGAAAAATGAGAAAATGTAAGGCTTTCCTAAAACCTCCGTATCTCTTACAGTTAATGCTGCAAATGAAAAAAAAAAGAGGAAAATATGAGGGATACATGTAGCTTGATAATAAAATGAGAAATAACATTGTGTAAAGGTGGCCCACTCCAAAGATTGTTTCAAAGTTACAATAAGAAGCCAATTTTTGTGTCACCCTATATGATAATGGCATATACATGATTTTCGTCAGATTTATAACTTGTGTCATCAATAGTTTGAGTGGATCAATTATTTTGCTGGTGAGTTTATTTTGAGAACTATGAGAAGAAGTGAAAATTAGTACCAAATCAAAGAATATGAAAATAGTTCCTTATGAAATTATGATCTTCCCAATTCATGAAAATGGCAAAAAATTAAGTAAGAAATAACTTTGAAACTGTTCGATATTTTAGAGAATTACCCCGTTTTCTTTTTGAAGCAAAAAGTGAACTCAAAGTCAATATTTGTATGGATTAATTAACACTGAATTGGTGACACTATGCATCAATATTTCTGGTGCGCAATGAATTTTGAATAAACAATTTGTTTCAGGACCACCTGGAAGTCCTGGTATCGGAATACAAGGTCCAAGAGGTGACAGGGGAGAGCCAGGACAACAAGGTAACCAAAATATAAATATTACTCTGTTTGTGTAGGTACTCCACATGCTTTGATTGAAAAAATAGCGTAGCGTATTTCCGTCAATCAAGCACATTCCTAATTGTTCAATGATATAATGCAAAAATTTTCCATGATTTTCAAAATATCGAAGGTATTTTTTCCACGAACACGCACACCTCTAGTGGCACAATTTAGAAGCAGTCTGAGTAAGAAAGCTCAATTTCGGTGGCGACACTTCAAAATGAAAGTCGTGAAATAAGGTTATGACTAGGTATATTTTCAATTCAAGTCAGTACACTGATTTTCCATTCCGAAAACAGCGAAATTCGCTAAAAGTGACAGATCTCGAGAGCAGACATACCATCCATTGTGCATATTTTCGGCTTAGATTCCTGCTGAAATTACTGTCCATCAAAAGGTGGTGTAGAGTCAATCATATACATATTTTTAAGACACAAACATATTGTAGTTGACTGCATAACGTGATTAATTTATGGTTATCGATGACCATTATTCAAATCCCGACATTTATACATTCTGCTCATGAGATCTGGAAGCTGGTTTGTTCGATTTTCCATCACATATATAGCTATAATTGAAACACTTCTAAGATAATAAATGCAGTAGAATTTGTTCCAAATTTCAGCACTAGTGATCTCACTGACATTATCGGCACTTGCATTCGGAATGAAGAACTGAGCCTACTGACAAGAGTGAAATCCCAAAACTCGACTTACAATACCTTCTCTAGGAGATACCATAAGATTCAGTGCAAATTGAGGATACAAATTTTATAAACTAGTCAAGAATGATGAAATTTGGCTAGGTTGAGGAATTTGTAACAAGCTTGACAATCCCTATTTTCAACACTCTGAAGTGTACAAATTAGCCTCTTTCCTGATTTAGGATAATGTATTCACCATTCAAAAGTCTTCAAATGCTTCACTACCTTCATTAGTTCTCAAGTTATCGGCATTCGAAATTGACCAACATTATGTGTTGTGATAAGATTCGATTGTGAGAGTTTAGTTCAATAAGAAATTTGTGGACTAAGTTGTCACGTCGTCGATGATATTGGCAGAGAAACTTAGGTCTAAAGTTTAGTCCATCATTTTGAGACGATTATTTGATTAATTCTCTATATTGCAGGTATTCCAGGATCGAGAGGTTCACCAGGCTCACAGGGTCCTCCAGGGTTCTGTGAATTCTGCAATAATTATGCTGCCCAGAGCTACCAGACTTACGCCAGATCAGGTGGAACCAATAAAGGACCATAAAAGCAACTACCGTCAAATATCATTGTATTGGGCAATTAGTTAATGTTATATAATTTGAATATTCTATATAAAATAATTATACATAAACAAATCAAGAAATATGTTGTTTGATTCATTCATATTACTTTACATTCCTAATGATATACCTATCTACTTTTTTTTCCCTCGTACTTTCGTGTTTTTCTTCTTACCCAAATTGAAACTTATTTTCTTTAATCCTACATTTCCAGATTCATTTTTAGATACCTTCTTTTTAGGTTTGAACAATGGTATATTCTTCTTTTTGTTTTTGTTATCAGCCTCCATAGCACTCTTCATAACTTCGACTGCATTTTCTACTTTTATATTTCCATCAAATGACAACTTCGAATTTGATAGTAAAGGATATTTTCCACTGAAACCACTAGGGAAAATCGGTGTTGCTAAAAGTGTTGCCAACTGTTTCCTCTTCAGTTCTGCTATCTTCTTATGTTTCTGTATCTCATCCGTATCATCTTTACTAGAGCTGAGAAAAAAGTTAAGGAATAAAACAGGAAACTAAATTCTATACTTTTCCATTGTCGGCAAAAGACCTGCACAGAGAAATATCATTATTTGGATTTTGGTTGTAACCGATGGTATAAAACTCAGTGAATCAGAAGGAGTATAGTTGTTCAATTTTGGTTATTTTATTTCATCTTGGATGGAAGTGTTCAATATATTTCACTATAGATCCACATTACTGGAAAATTTCGAAGATTAAACTGATCGAAATAAGTATTTTAAGGATACAAATCATCGACAAGGATATCCATATCTTCTGCAGCTTTCTGGAACCAACCAGCTTCCGAATTAGCTTTTCTCACATGTAACTGCAACTTGTCTAGCTCCCTAGCTAAATTCACCCTTTTTTTCACAGCATTCAGTAAATTTTCTTGTACAGGGAAGTTTGGCAAATCTTCACCTGAAATTCGTAATAATAAGTATCATTAGAGCAATGTACCAAATGCGCGCATAAGCTGCACTGATTTTTTTAATTATTGATCTTCATGCTGACATTCTCATTACTTATATTTAAAAAAAATCCTGAATGGTTTCAAGGTCTCAGAATCTCAAATGAAGTCACATCATATAAGGGTCAAAGTGTGTCACTCATAGCTACTGACGTCACGACTCAGTGTAAGATGTCAAAATACGTCTGAAAATAGCAGAAATTGCCTGGCTATAAACATTCATAAATCATGATTCATTTCTCACCTCACTTTGGTGAAATTTCGACCAAATCATAAATTGATGTTTCAAAATATTTGCCTGGATTTCAGTTTCCAAGATCAGCTGATGGCTGGAAAGTTATACAGGGAAAAACAAAAGTTACTCTTTCACCCTCAAACTCTTAACGCCCTGTGCCAAAAGTGAGTGATTGAACTTGGCTTCATTTTGTTTTGGAGTGAAGTGTGATTGCTTCTCAACACAATGAATTTTGATTCACGTCAATATCAAAAGATACAACTGTTTTGAAAAAATATATAGTACAGATTTTTGGAATTTTTGTGAACAATTATTCATGAATTCAGAACCTACATGAATTTATCGATCAACAACTTGAAAAAACATGTAGTTAGACAGCGCAGATCGCGCAGTTGCCACATGTTTGGTCACACAGCACGAAGATAGGTCTCGAGCATGTTAGATACTCACAAAATTTAGTGACACATAGTATGCCATTCATCCGTGGGATGAAAATGTGCATTCCCTTGAAATATCGACTAGAGATTAATAATCTGGATATTTTGAATGATAACACTGACGTACGGCAATTTCTAAACGATCCAATTAAAATGTGCGTGTTGGCCGAGTTTGGCCAAGCTTGGACGAGGTTGGACTAGCAATATCAACAATTAACGCCAATAAGATAGATATCGGATAGCGGGATGGCACGTTCTCTTGGAATCGGGCCGTAATTTTCAACAACTTTGAACATGGCATATGCTCATAATTTGCAACAAAAACATATTTGAATGGTATGAAAAATCTTTTGAGATCTGTAACATAGTGTAATTGGTAAATGTGAAAAATTCTATACTACTTCAGTACCCTATTCTCAATAGTTTTTATTTTTGCGTTATAAAATAGTGAATGATGAAATCCTATGATTCCTGCGCACCAAAAATATCTGATCTTTTGAAATACCACTGTGGTGAAATTGAATTATCTTACTTGAGGCTCCTTTGGAGTAAGTAACTCAAATAGTTGCATAATTTAGTGAAAATAAAATTGTATGAATTATCCCAAATCATCTCAATCAGTATTGAAAAGACAAACAACAAAATATTAATATTCAGTTGATCTTGAATGTTGAAGGTGAAAGTTTGTGAAAAATAAAGAAGTCTCTTCATGCATTGTGTTATACAACATTGTATCAACCAATAGTATATTGGGTGAAAAGAGTTATCAGCGGCGAGCGTGCAATTGCATCACATGTTTTTTTCTAGATTTGGTATTTTATAAGCCTCTCCACATGTCAGAGCATATATTTTCCTTTGATGCACATTAATTTACTTTTCTCTCATCGCTTGGCATTTTATAACTAAGAAAAATATTTATTTTTAATGAATAATACCTGAATCTGGTTGATGATGACTTACTACTAAAAATTTCAAGAATTGACGATCAACTGAAATTTGGTACTCAAAATACACCTGGGAACAATATACGTCAAAATCAAATATGTGCTACTGCTTCAATTTACGCGTGAATCAAACTTCATTCCAGGTATTCCTGAATTCGAATGACGCAAGCCTAGGGCAGATTCATTTTGTAAGAAGAAGAAAGTATACAGGGTGGATCTTAGGCATGTGTACAAAAATTCAGGGACGGGTAGCCAACGTCAAAACAAGATATCATATAAGGTTTATTGCCTTGCATCTTGTTTTGACGTTTTGACTAATGTTTCATTTCAATCAATTAACTGGGAACCAAAGTGACAAATTAATCTCCTACAGTATAATATAGACTTTACACGTAATTTTGACTGACCTTTTCCTAATGTCCTACACAATTTCAGATAGTTCGGTAGTTCATTAGGTTCGATAAGTAATACAGTTATTCCCTGTCGTGAAGCTCTAGCAGTTCGCCCTGAACGATGGACATAGCCTTCGCTTGTCCTCGGAGTTTGATAATGTAAAACATGTTCCACATGTGGGATATCCAGTCCTCTGGCTGCGACATCTGTCGCTACTAATATGCTGTTTTCATTATCTCTGAACCTAGAATATCGAGGTTTGTGAATCATACTGATGCCAAGCTATATATCTCAATCAGATCAAGGTATTCTGAAATACACAGCTAGAAAGTAAGATGGAATCTACGTCATGCATTGATAAAGTTCGCAATACATTAACGTTTTACAAGGTGTTTCAAAATTCAGCATCAATAAGATGTCAGGGACTTATTTTTCGAGTCAAAATAACTTTTTTGTTTCTATGAATAGGTGTCCGCAAACGCCTCGTAACCGATATGCAGAACGTAAAAGTTTTGATATTTTTTATTTTCCAGCACCTTTTATAAAAAGCACAGATTCGATAGGTTTTTTTTTCTTCAGGCAATGTTTGAAAACTTAGAAATAATATCACAAACTAAATACAGGGTGTCCCTAGACCAGTGGGACAGTTAAATATCTTCTGAACCAATAGGAATTTTCAAAATATTATAATGTTACATCATATCGCATTATGAGTGCTAACTTCAGGAATGACTATATTTTATACGAGGGGCGCGAGAAAGGCTCACAAAATCGAACATCAATTTTTTCAAATAGAACACCCTGTATTTCATTTCATTTTCATATTCTTCTTGAAGAGCTGAATTCAACGACCTAGCACACTTGGGGTCTAGCGGGAATGATTTCCGAGATATAGGGTGTGGAAAATCGAGATTTTTCATTTTTGGGAATTTTTTGTGTCAAAACTATTCATTATTGGTCAAAACGGCTTACATGTCCATGTCTTAACTTTCGATTTACTATTCACTCGTATTTAATTTAAACAAATACAGGGTGGTGTAGAATTCTCAGTTTCAGTCAGAATTCTACACCACCCTGTATTTGTTTCAATTAAATACGAGTAAATAGTTAATCAAGAGTTGATATATGGACATGTAAGCCGTATTGACCAATAATGAATAGTTTTGACACAAAAAATTCCCAAAAATGAAAGATCTCGATTTTCCACACCTAATATCTCGGAAATCATTCCCGCTAGACCCCAAGTGTGCTAGGTCGTTGAATTCAGCTCTTCAAGGAGAATATGAAAATGCAATGAAATACAGAGCGTTCCATTTGAAAAAATTGATGTTCGATATTGTGAGCCTTTCTTGCGCCCCTCGTAGAAAATATAGTCATTCCTGAAGTTGGCACTCATAATGCGATATCATGTGAATGTATAATATTTTGAAAATTCCTATTGGTTCAGGAGATATTCAACTGCCCCACTGGTCTAGGGACACCCTGTATATAGCGTTTTTGTTCTAATTTTGATTTTGTTAAAAATATATATTAAATCTAGCAAATAACAAAAAATGATTTTTTTCCGATTGCGGTCGCAAATGAGTAAAAATTACTAGCGACGAAAAAGTTTTAAAACAAAACAAGAAACTCATTTCGTATTTCAAAATATTCCAGTAGCGCAATACAAAAATGTTCAAGTAGCGAAAAAAGGGCTGACCCTTGAATAAATCTCTCCTGTAGATTCTTACAATCACTCGACATGTTGTATTATGTGGACCCTTAAATGTAACATATAGTTCAAATTTGATCTGAATATCTCGAAAACAAAGAGCTATAAAAAAAAGAAGACTCTTGAAATTTAGAAGCCCTGTAGATCGATATCGAAACGTTCGCGGACACATTTATTTTGATCTGGAAAATGAGCCACTGAAATCTTGAAACTGAATTTTGAAACACTATATATATCCGGAAATCGAAATCACTACTTGATAATTATTCATAAATCATAGAATTACCAAGGCGATAGAATTTGCTACATTCAAACAAATCATCAAACATTGCAAAATTTTGGTCCACTGTAAGAGTTTAACCTACCAGAATGTGCGTCGAATTCTATGCTGTTTTCCTTTTGGTTATTTATGATGGCAGGAGTATTCTCAATCAATCGATTGATAATATAGAAGATGGATTCTTCAATTATGATAATATTGGGTAAGTATCAAGCTATCGATGTAGTATTTCGAATTTCATTATTAAATGCATGTGTTTGGTATCTCTAGCCAGATAATATGCCTAATGACCATAATAATTGGAGTGGCTCTACCTCTCCAGAGACATATAACTACCATGTTTATCTCATTCATTACTATCAAAGGCAATCTTAGGTTATGTAAACCTGTCTGCATTATAAAACTAAATAATAATAAGGTTCCAACTACAGAAAAATCTGATGTGCAAAAAACTAAAGGGAATTGAGAAGCTCCATATGTTATCATCAAACTATATTAGCCAAGTAATATACTCATGCAACAGTATTTCGTTTTCATAGTCCTATGGAGGAAGAATTCTGATATCAAGAAGGGCCACTGATAATAACCGATGATGTATTCTATATTTCAGGGGTTCTTCGCATCAAATAATCCATTCTGAAGGAATGCTATACCCAATATGAGATGTAGATGTAAATGCCACGTACCAGTCAGTAAGCATAAAAAATATAGTCCCATCATTTGAGTATATGCTGGGATCGTTGTACTGGCCTTTTGCCAAGGAACCGAATATGATTCCTGGGCACCCAGCACTAGGACGCTGATATCAGGCATGGGGAAAATATATTAGACCATTAATTTCAGTATCTAAGTATTATTCTACATGTGCAGTATTTGTTTTCCTGATAAATTATCTCGGACAACTATGATTATTATAAAATATTTTGAATATTTTTCAAAGATAGTACCTTTTTAGTAACACATAAACCAAAGAGTTAATCAGAAATGTCGCTACAAAACAATAATATCTAGGTCCGTAGTCTGTATCTTAACTTTTTGACGTATCTATTATTTAGAACTCGATTAAAACCTACCAGAATCTCAAATTCGAATATTTTGTCAGATACGTGGTTTTGCCGAATAACCCACGATAGGGAGAATGATATTGGAATCATAGGAAAAGAAGATAACAATAAGAAAAAATAAACAATCCGCATGGATTCTTCTGGACGGAACATATTCTTTCCCGGCACGGCCAAACAAAGTACGTGAGAACTTGATATTTTTTCAATATACTTATATTCCTCTTCTCCAAACATTAGACAAAACAAGCTATCACTGACAATCGATGAATTTATACTTCAGGTTTTCTAATAGGGGCATTTTGCAAACGCAGTGGCAATTCCGGGCGAACCATCTTTATTTATAGAACCGAGAGAATTAAACATGATTCAGAGAAACGATTATTCACCTTCTCGGTTAACCTACATTCAGTATTCATTTAGGAAATATTGAAAAAAGATATCTAGACTATATAGACGATTTATAATGTAAGATTCAACTTGTGTTTTATATTTTTGGTACAATTTTATTTATTTCAAAACAGCGTGTGGAGAATCATATAATCTATAACATAATGAATGGATTATGAGAAATTCTTGAAGACCTCAGTTCTGAGATTCAAGTTGTGGATGTCTTTCCTGTATATTCCGCAGGTATTTTTTGACGTTCTCAAACAAATAACATACATTGCTAAGAGTTACAACTTTGATGAACATTTGTCAAAAAATAACTCCTAAGGAAGCTACAACATCTTGAAGAGGTTACCCTGAAGATTGTATTTCATTCTTATAACCGAAACGGTTTGATATGAACGGGGTCGGCTTAGAGTACTTTAAGCTTGCACTTATTTGTTGTTAATTTTGAAAATTCACCACCGACATTCAAAATTGTAAGAATTTTCCGTACAGTATTAGAGTAACATTGATATAGTTAAGGAAAATTGTATTTCAAGAGTACAATTATTTTATTCGGGATATATTTTTTTATGCTTCCATTTCATCTACAAAAAATATTAAATCAATGTCGAACATTAATGTATGATAAACACTAACTCTACACCCTAAATACAAAATTGATTTGTGTGTTGGTGAATGATTAGTTGTTTTTTTTTCACGACAGTTCTTTTGGTCATAGAATTAACTATACCATTAGATTCATATAACGACCAATATTCAAAAAAATATAATATTCTCATTAGAACTCACCTTTCTAGATTTTTTAGTCTTTGACGTTGCTGCATTGATGCATGAATTGGCAGTGGATGACAGTCCAATATACTGAGTAAAGCTGCAAGCCGTTTAACACATCCAATAGAATTACAGAATATCAATGTTCTTCCTGGATGTTTTTTTAAAAAATAATAAACATAATAATCTTTTTTATCTATATCACAAGTTATCCTACATTCCGTTAATGTTTCAGAGGTACCTGAAATGAAATGGAATATCAATATATAAGTTTGTGAATAATTTCTTCAATCTACTAACGAAAAAAATTATAAACGTTTTTAAATTACATGTTGATTTTTTTGAGCAATAGGGAAATCAAATATCAAACAGCCAACAAATTGTTGTTAAGCCCAAAAGCAATTACCTTTTCCTTCAGTTACATCAACAACCTTTGGATTACTGATACCGAGCATATCTACAATTTTTTGCAATTTCTGTGAAGCATCCATTTCCTCAATATTCTTGGACCTCTTGATTTTACGTTTATTCTTGAGATAATTTGGCAATTCATGTACCAGCGTCAAGGTAGCTGAGAAGACGAAATATTGCCTCTCTTTCCTTTTGGAATCTTCCATGTTGATTCTGTCTAACAGGTCATGTAGCTCTTGGAAATGACCTCTCTCCAGCATTCTGTCAGTTTCATCAATTGCTAAATATCTGAAATCAAGATATCACTCAACAAACGAAAACTGGATTTTTATTCATTTATTTATTGAATTAAGTCGAGTACATACAGTTCTCAACACACCAAATGGACCACTCATAATTTGACTCTATTTCGAAGACCTGTATTTTTTTTTTAAATTGACCGATCTTCATGCGGTTTTCGATATCAGATGTGATGTTTCATCGGCTTCAAAGAGAGCTAGAACAATCTGAAAAAGTCCGCAAAACAAAACTCACACAGGGTGTAAAGTGGAACCATTACACTATGGTCTACATTTCCAATGCTGCCAGAACTCGAGAAATTTTTTTCTGATCAAAAGTCAGTCATATTATGATACACTGGGACCTCATCTCGGGACGTTTTCGTGATTTCCCCTTAATTGGCCATTGGAACAAAAATTCGATTTTTTTTTCGAAAGTCTTGCATTTCTTGATTTTTTTCTCTAGAACTCCACCTGAGCTGACTATTGGGAAGAACTGTTCTCATGTTTTATGGAGGACAATGAAAGACGAAAAAAGCACTTTTTTGGATTATACAGGATGATAAGAAACTAGGACAAAATCTCATTTCAGTGAAAAAAATCAAAAATGGTGACTAAAACTATGGCCCATTTGATCCAGTATATTCAGAAACGGCCTTCTCGATATCCATTATTTATATTAGACCATTAACTCGAGATGTTTTCCAATTCAAACTTGTTTCCTGATATTGATGGTTTCCAATATTTATTGCCCAAGTATGAGACATAGAGTATTGTTGTTCAATGTACTGAGTGTTCTACAACTTATCTGACAAATTTCAACCACAACTACGATATTACATAAGAAGTCTATCACAAAAATAAATTATAGAAGTAAAACGAGATGAAAAATAAAATTTGTAACACTTTATATCCACTAAAACTATTCTAAAAGGGCTCTATTGGCGACATATTGAAGTTCTTATTTCAATAGTCGTGTTTCGGAGAGCTCCGTAAGAAAGTGGTCGATTTACCAATAAAAGTTATCACAAAAACGCGAAATTTTCGCTAATACGAAGTTTTGTGAAATTACTGCAAGAATGTGTAACTAGTATAGTGGATTATTCCATACATTGGGAGAAAACTGCATTTTCATAGTGCAAACAAATAAATTTACTCCTAGAAGAAATATTCAGGTACCCAGTTATTATCCGCAAAAAATAACGCTGATAAAAGTCAAACTTTTTGTGTGATGGAAGGTGATGAGAATAAACTATGGAGTGCTTTTTATGTAAGGTAATAAAACAACCAACGAAAGAGGTCAAAGCACCCTGTTTTTCCTGCGATACTTGCCGAAATTTAATTTGTACAGAGTGCTCCGATCTAACAGCGTCTGAACTAAAATGCATGCCACTACAAAAACGTATTTTGAAATTTTATTGTACAAGATGCAGGAATAATGAATTTGTTGAAAGTTTACAATACATCATAAAGGACAAGGAAGAAATAATAAATGATAAGAATGAAATTATCAAAATGTTACAAGATAAACTTAACACCTATGAAAAAGAAAGAACTTACATAGCAAAGCCTACTTATTCTGAAACCCTACAGCATAGTTCAAATGCATCATTTAGAACAACTTTGCCAAATGTTCCTGATATAATTATAAAACCTAAGACCTTCCAAAATGTGGAAAAAACTAAAACTGAAATTATAAATAGTATCAATCCATCCAATTTGAAAATTGGCATTAGAAGTCTAAAATCTACCAAATCTGGATCAGTCATTATCAAATGTATGAACAAAGCAGAATTTGAAGTACTGGAAAAAGAAGTCAAAACGAAAATGGAAAACACATATAACATAGAAGCATCAAAAATGAAAAAACCAAGGATTAAAATACCATACTTTCAACAAGATCTATCAAAAGAAGAAATTGAAACCGCAATTCTACAACAAAATGAATCACTAGACGAAATCAAGGTAACTTTTATCAAAAAAGGAAGAAATGGCCAATCAACAGTTTTTGGGGAATGCTCGCCAGCAACTTTTAGACAACTCATGGTACTGAAAAAGGTATTTATTGGTTGGGAGCGATATCCAGTTTTTGAAGATATTACAGTTCCACGTTGTTTCCAGTGCCAAGAATTTTATCATAAAAAAGAAAATTGCCCTAACAAACTAATTTGCCCTTTATGTATGGAAGAGCATGAACAAAAAGATTGTCCAAAAATCAAGAAAGCTTGTGCTAATTGTTTCAAATCTAATGATAAGTACAAACTGAAAAATAGTGTTGAACATTACTCAACTGACATTAATTGCCCCACTCTACAGTTCCAAATCAATGTGATGAAAAGTAAAATTGATTACGGTAGTTAATGGTAATAGTGGATCAAGATACTGTCTTAGAAAATTTGAGTTTATTAGAACAAGATCACCTAGGGGAATATGTAGAACCTGAAAATTTCATGTTAATGACAAAAAATAAACTATTTAACGTGACACATTTCAATATTCGAAGTGCAAACAAAAACTTTGATGAACTCTTAGCACTTATTGAAACATATAATATGACCTGTGACGTTTTTGTCTTGAGTGAATGCTTTATGAATGTATCTGTCAATAACCTTAATATACCAGGATATACAACGATACATAATGATGGCGATTTCAATAGGAATGATGGAGTTTTGATTTTGATAAAATCAAACCTCAACTACAATATTACTAGTCATAAACTAACTATATGTGGGATCTCATTATGTATCATTAATTTAACATTGAATAATGTATCATGTAGAATAATCGCTCTTTATAGGCCTAACCCAAGTAACCTGAACTCGTTTATTGATGAACTTGATTCATACCTGGATGAAATACAGTCCAACAAAATGGTTGTATTCATTGGTGACATTAATATCAATTTATTGAATGAAAACGACGTCAACGTGAATAATTATCTTTCTGTGTTAGCTAAATATGGATTTGTCCCATACATATTGAATCCTACAAGAATAACTGCTGAAAGTAGATCATGCATCGACCACATTTTCCTGAAACAACCTAACAATAACAATAATTTCAAATTCAATTCATATATTTTGAAGTGTAACATCACGGATCATTACCCAATTTCACTAAATATAGAGTCGAACTGCAAAAAAAACATAATAATTGATAACAGTAATTTTTATTCAATAACAAAAATAGATTATAAAAAGTTAGAGAACTTATTACAAAAAGAAACTTGGGATATGGTATTGAATGAAAATGATCCTCAAATTGGGACTAACCTATTTTTAAAGAAATTCAATGATAGTATAGAAAAATCCAAAAGTACAAAAGTATGGCACAAAAAGCATGTAAAAATAAAACCATGGATAACCGAAGGGTTAGTAATATCAATAAGAAAGAGAGACAGATTGAAAAATAAATTAAATGAATACTTCTCTTATGAGTTAGAACAAGAATATAAGACTTACAGAAATAAATTAAATAAACTACTAAATATAAATAAAAATAATTACTATCTCAGGCAAATCGAAATTAACAAAAATAATCTGAAAAAAACTTATCAACTAATATCAGACGCTACCAATGAAAGAGCAATTACTAAAAACATCTTAAAAATTGTTGATGAGGACGGTGTAGCATTCAATGACAACAAATTAATGGCAAATCATTGTAATAATTATTTTAGTAACGTGGGCTTGAACATGGTTAAAGGTATTGATACTCCAGCTAAAATTAAGGAAAACATTAAAGTCAACCCCAACTCTATATTTCTCAGTCCAATAACAAAAAATTGAATTGATAGAACATATATCTACATTGAAAAATAACACTTCTCCTGGCGTAGATGGAATAACTAGTGAAACAATTAAACATAGTTACCAATATATTTTGCGACCACTGGAACATTTATATAATTTGATAATCCAAAAAGGACATGTTCCCACTCAGTTTAAATCTTCTCTAATTACACCAATACATAAAGCTGGCGACAAAACTAAAATCAGTAATTACAGACCTATCAGCGTAATAAACAGCTTCGGTAAGATTTTTGAAAAATGTCTAAAGGCTCGCATAGTAAACTTTTTTAATGAAAATGGAACTATACACGATTACCAATATGGGTTTCGTGCTGGTATGGCTACCAGTGACGCAATGTACAATGTTATCAAAAGTATTATTGAAAGACTTGATGAAAACAAAAAATGTATTGCAGTGTTCCTAGACTTGGCAAAGGCATTCGACACTGTTGATCATGAAATACTGCTTGATGTATTGGAGCGTCTTGGTATTCGTGGTGCAGCGTTGGATGTCTTTCATAGTTATTTAGCCGATCGCAAACAGTGTGTCAAAATCAATGATACAATAAGTGATACTATGACTGTAAAAATGGGAGTCCCTCAAGGAACCGTTCTTGGCCCAATACTTTTTCAAGCCTATATAAATTCATTGCTCTGTTTAGAAGTGAACGCAAAAATTATATCATACGCCGATGATACGGTTGCAATTTTTAGTGAAAATACATGGTCTGAAACAAAAAATACTGTCCAGTTAGGCATGGAAATGATTAATAAGTGGTTGAGTATGTATCGTCTCTCACTAAATGCTAGTAAAACCCACTATCTCGCACTCACTATAACAGATACAAATAGACCAACATTTTCCAGTATTAAAGTTCCAGGTATGAAAGATGAAATCAAGGAAACAAACGAGATCAAATATTTGGGCATAAATATTGACAGGAATCTCAGATGGAACAATCATGTTGATTATTTAACAAAAAAAGTGAGGAAGCTAATATATAAATTTCACCAGTTACGACAGTTCTTATCGAAAAGACTACTTATATTAATTTATAAATCTCTAGCTGAATCACTATTTCGATATGGTATTTTGGTGTGGGGAGCAATGTATAAAAATTCTCTACAAAAATTAAATACAATACAAAATTATATTCTGAAAATAATTTTCAAAAAACAGAGATCTTTTCATACTAACCTTCTATATACAGAAGGT